GCCGTTAGCGTGAGGGAAAGCTGTCAGACGACACTGCCGCACAAAGGCAAATATTTGCCAATGATAATCTTCTGTAGGGGCCTACTTCATCGCAGACCACTATAACTAGAGGCTTCGCAGCAATGCGCGGGGTTCGTACATTCCTTCGCCCGGAGTTACGCATTTTTGTGAATAGCCTGTCGTCGGCTGTGTTGAACACAACCGTTGCTGTTTGTATGTTTTGCGAACATGTCTGTGTTAGACAGACGAGTGTGTGACAGAAGTCATCTTTCCGTCTCAAGTACAAATTGATAGTCAGCGACACACCTGTTGTATATCAGGTCGCATAGCACGAACGATCATCTTTCAGCACTGCCCTATTACTCGTATCGGCTCTGACATTTCCACAGTCCTACAGCGGCCGCAACAGCACATTAGTCTAAAAAAAAACGTCCCAAATAACATTACATTTGTTATTGATGTTTCACAATTATTTTCCACACGCGCAGACACCGCTTAACATAAATCCTAATTGATATTAGATGCACCAGTATGGGAGTAATAGGAATAGAGTCTTAGCGCAAGAGTCACCAGAAATCGGTCTGGAACCCCAGCCGGTCCTGATATCTAAAGTGTTTATATTGCTACTATATAATATATATATATTCAAATCCATGAGAGTTAGCCTGCTCAAAGTTTATCAGTGCTGGGGTGGGGGACGGACTGCTATTTCCAACGCTGTTAAATTACAGTATTTAGTTGCTTGTAGTTGTATGTAGTATATTTTTGCTAAATGCAAAGAAAAAACGTTCTCGCATGCATCGATCATATGTTGTCTATCGTTTAGCACCACCTGAAGGAGGTCTACTCAAAATACGACACGATCGAAGATGACATCTGGTGCAAGATCATGTGCATGGAGCGAAACCGACGCGTTGCTAAGGCTTACGTCAGAGTTCCCGTCGTTACCATCGACGGAAGCATCGACGGGTTCGACGGATTCAGGTGAATGACGCAATCGCGTTTAATGACGTTCTTACAGGTGCCCGACGTGATGACGCATGGCGGCTTCATAGTGGCGTCACGGCTGGCTGTTACGTAAACCTTGTGACGTGGCCAGATGAGCCGGTTATGATTTACGACAGCCTTACATGGCGAATGAATTACGAGTTGGATTCGCGTGGGACGTACTATGAGGTTAATTTTACCATGAAGCATAGTTTTCGAAAGCGGATGCGTTGCTGATATGATTGTATACTGTACGAAATATAAGACGAATACGTCCTAGTACTATATCAGCTATCATCAGCGTCGGCATTCCTGCATATATGCCATTGAATCGCGTAATGTAGGTCTGAATCGAGAATATCACTTGTGATTAGTCGGTTCGTTGTCGGTCTTATTACTGTCGAAACGTATAATATACTATAAGAAAACTAGACAGGAGAACCCCGGGTATCGCGTGGCACGATTGTTCGCCATGTAAACATTTACGGGATGAAGTCTGAAATCCTTTTTTTCGCTAATCTTTCACATGCGTGCGTACGTAAATGTCGCCCGCATTGCTGACGCTGATCTTTACAACGCCGCCTTGATTCCATCTGTCCAACAGGATCGGCCTTGGAGCCTTCGACAACCCGAAACGAGACAAAGACGTGAGGATAATAAAAGAACACATCGGCGAGGTAAGCGTGCATGCGCGGGCCACCTCCCTCCGCACACAAAACCCGAGGTTTGACGGACGGTATCGCCCAACGATCTTTATCGCGAGAAGAACAATTTCGTATATATATAAATATATGCAAACCCGTTTCTTGTGGTGGAGGCGACGTCAGTAACTCCCATGCCGACGTGGAGATGCGTGCTACCGTCTCTGTAGGTTAGCAGTTAACGCTGGCTCTCTGCGCTCTAGGGTGTCGCCCTGCAAACCACAAATCATCGCCGGGCTAACTGGTCTAGTGGGCCACTTATAGATACTACGTACGCGACCCTGATGATCTGCCGAACAATAGCACAGAGGGCGTCGAGATGCCTACATGACCTTACACATCGTTAACCTGTCGCGATCAAAAATATCATAATTATATATTGTTCCGTCAGATTTTACGAGAGAAGACACGTGATACGGGGAGAGCGGTTATTTTCGAGACGCGGGATTGAACCAATATAATTATCTGGGAACCGGGAAATACGAGACCATTTTTTCGTGACTCGGAAGTAGAAGTCAACCGGGACGCAGGAAAGCTCTGAATTGTTTACCTGGAAAACTGGGAATGGCTCCTCCTCTCGTTAGCATTGACGCACCGCCATGCTTTTCGTGATGTACTCGGGTGCAAGCAGGGCCACGGATCTGTGACGGGTAGACTAATGTATAATTTTCCCTCCGGCTGATGCCGTTCTACATTATAAGTAGAATACATTCTCGGCTTGCGAACGCAAACGTGTCGCAAATTCAATCGCGAACGAACCAAATAACGTTATGCACTGTACCTACCGGCACAGATGTACCACCAACAATGCA